ACTAAAACATGATTATGAAGGGTACCTATCGGTTTTTCATTTTTCTTTGAAATCATGCCAATTTTCAAATATCGCCACTTTTTTGAATTTACTCTTTATTGAGTTTCTTATATTCTGCATCACATCTATTTATATATTTTTTAAAAAGAATTATACATTACATTATTCTTAAGAATTATACGTTGTTTTTAAGAATATAAGATATTTATGTCAAATTCTCAAACTTTGAAAATCAAACATTAGCAAATGTCAAAGTTTTGGTCTCATGTTTATATTTTTAGTGATAGACATGACCGATAAGTGACGACACGTCGTGAAATGAGTGTCAAACATGTGTCCAAAATTAATATTTTTAATTTTAATCAAGGACATGTAAAAAATAGTATTGAACACGTGTCTAAGAGTGTCGGTGTCCGAAATGGACACATCTGCTTCTTAGAAGTGTTTGTTCGTGCTTCTTAGAAGTGTTTGTTTGTGCTTCTTAGCTTATCCCACAAGCATTTTTACAGCCCTAACAAGACAACGGAGAGGAGACTAAATTTGCTTCGCTCGCCCTATCTCAACCCACCCTGTGCCAATTATATTTAATTACATGACCTTTGTATGTATATCCATCCACATATGAATTTGATTTGTTAAATTTAGTAAGAGTAAAATAGTAAAACACTCATGTGTTTCTCAGTTTTTCTTTTCTCACCTTTTTAACTCTTTGTCTTTAATCTTTTTAACTCTTATTACTCATCAATCTTTGTCCCTCTTATACTACATCATCTCCCTCATTAGTATAATTCCTCTGAAGGGTGACAAATTACTTGCCAACCCCTTGCTCCTGACCCATCCTCGCCACCGCTTCGATGTTTCCCACCCCAACAAGGAACGGGGTGGGGATGGGGCCCTTCAAACCTTGCCTGTCTTGTTGTCATTCCTAATTGGAAACCTTGCCTTTGTAGACAAAAAACTTTGTCTTCTACATCGGTCTGCCATAACCATACAGTCTTCTACAACGGTCTGACACGACCATACAGTGTCTCCTATCCATTTTTTATTTTTCAGATTATTTTCTTGTTTTGTTACTCTCTCCAAACTCAAGTTGGTTAGTTCCTATCCCCCTTGAGTTTGCGGGGGGCTGTTAAAACCTACCATCACCTACTCCACCTACTACACCTACCACTACCACCTACTACCACCTACTCCACTACATCTCCTATATAAGGAGCCCCTCACCATTTGTAATTAATAACATATCAATCAATAATACAATTTCTACAGGAACACCGTCGCCACTGCCTGTTTGCCCTTCAATTCTGTTTCTTGTTTGGGTGGTCCGTTGTTACCTCGGCCTCGCTTCGGCGAGCCGTTTGCTTTCTCCTGCTTTGTCTCTTTGTTTCCCGATGTGTCTTCCTCGGCTCTGGCGTATTTCTCGATTCTTGCCATGAGCTCTTCCATGCTTTTTGGCAGTGTTTTTGCCAAAGACTTCCGTAGTGGGCAGTCATCTTTCAGGCCGTTCTTGAAAGATACGACCGCCACTTCTTGGTTGCATTCGGGTATTCGATTGAACACCTCGTAGTATCTCTTCGCGTAGGCCCTAAGGCCTTCTTCTTTGGTGATTCTTAAAGCCATCAGGGCGTCGACCCTCAAGGGCTGTAGTTTGTTTGTTACAAACCTGACTACAAACATCTCGGCCAGGCCTTCCCATGTCTCTACGCTTCCCTTTGGCAGCTTATGGAACCAATCGGATGCTATTTCCCCAAAGGATGAGGGAAATACTTTACAGAGCAATGGTTCGTTCCCACTGTATAACGCCATTGAGTTCAGGTATAGTCCAACAATGAAGTTGGGGTCTGACTTACCATCATAAATTTGGAACCTCGGCATACTGAATCTCTTTGGTGCTTCAAATTTGTCTAGTTCCACCGAGAATTGTGTCGTCGGCTTAATTGGGGAAGTTACCTCGGCTTCAACATTCTGTTGCCTCCTCTTGAGGTAATCTCTTAGGTCCTCTTTACTCCTTCCTGGAGCTCGGCTATCTTTTGATTTCAATTTCTTCGGCACGTTGCTTTCGGCCTCGTGGTGGGGTCGTTTTGATCTCTCTCCATGTGTTGTGTCAAAGCAAAGTGCCTGCCTTTGAACATGGCGATGTTCTTTGGGCTCTGGATCCTTCGCGTGATACGTCCTTTGGGACTCTTCTTGTCTCGACTCTTCTCGTCCGCCTTCCCTGGAAGGTCGGTGAGAGTGGCTTCCACTCCTAGTGTGCTGAGGGGCTTCGAGAATTGCTCTTCTTTCTCCCTTCTGGGTATTAATTGCTGGCATCGGCGTATCTTGCAGCGGGTATGGTGGCTGCATTACATTATTTTGCATCATGAAGTTGACGACCGACTGTAGGTCCGCCAACTTGTTTGCCAATTCTTTTACTTTCTCATCCCTCCGTAGGCACCTGTCCCTCCATACCTGAAGATTATCTTCGTTATAGTACTGGCCTTGGTCTGTTTTCTTTGAAGTGTTCCCTTCCTGGCCGACGTCTTTCTCGACGTGGCCTTGGTCATGAATTCCTGCATTATGGCTGTCTCCTTCTACATCAAGGTCGATTGGTCTGCCACTCCCAGCAGGAGTGTTGCCGCCAATGTTTTCCCTCTGTTCGTTACTGGCCATCTATTCTTCTAAGATTCTCACAGACGGCGCCAAATTGTATGGGTAATTTTCTTACCACACTGCCCGCCTAGTAATCAGCTGGAGAGCACCGGCAGAGTAGATGGCTTTAGTAACCTGAAACAGAAAGAAAAAGGCTCCGGTGGTGGCTCTTCCACCCGGGGGCACTCCGACGATCAAGTCAGTATATCTCTCAAAGATAATCAAGTGCTAAACTCACAAGCTTGAGTATAAAACTGTGTATCTTAGAGCCATGGGGGTGCCTCTCTTTTATAGTTTACTCAATCCAAGTCCTACTAGAAGCCTGACTTCTATGGACTCCAATTTAATACTTACTTTGGATTTTTCAAGAGATAAAGATAAACTCCATAAGAGCTTTATCCTTATCTTGGCTAAGTCTCCTCTTTGTCTTAGGACTCTTGTCCCTTATCCGCTTATCTCGGATTCCGATATCTTCGGAGATAACCTCGGCAACTCCGAGATCACCTCGGCGTAATTTCCACGACACGTGGCACCTCGGCCAAACACGTCGGCGTCGCCATGCCACGTGTTGGTACCCAAGAAATATATCCCCACAATAATAATAATAATAATAATAATAATAATAATAAAGTTTAGCGATAATGTAAGTGGTTAAAAAGACAGCTCATAGCAAACTTTGAAAGCTTAACTTTAGGTTCAATGGCATAAAAAAGTCTTATGTTATGGTTATCAATTAATCGGACAATCCACATCAAATTCTTTTAGTTTTAAATTGATTGAAATTAACGTTTCAATTTGAAATATGTTATAAATGCAAGCTAAGTTTTGGTAATTTGGTTTATTAGCTTGGCTAAACCACTTTTAGGTCTTGTTTGTTTGGCGAATTAGGTTAGATGAGATTATGAGTACGGTAAGATTGAATGGGGAGATTATTAGTGTAGTGATATTAGATTGGAGATATAAAATAAAGTGTATTTGTTTGTAACTAGTGGGGTGGTATTAATTAGTTAGGACTAAATTTATAAAATACCTAAAAATCCTCATCTATAATTTTGTTGGTTTTGTAAAGTGGAGAGCAAAATGATAATTTAGCTATCAATTTAAGTGAAGGGACTAGCTATCCCAACCCTTTTTTGAAAATGCTAATCCCACCATAAGAGGGGATTAATATTCTCATGAAATTACTAATCCCATTATATTTTATTACACCCAAATATAGATTTAATGAATCCCACAAAAGTTGATTTACTCATAAAATTGTGAAAAGAGGGGGCCAATCTTTGTAGGGGTGTCCGCGGTTCGGTTTGGGACGGTTTGCGGTTCGGTTTGGACCCGCCCGCATCTATGCGGTTTGGAGAAAAGTCAACCCGCGACCGCCCGCAATGCGGTTTGCGGTTTGTGCGGATAGGGTTTGCGGATGTACGGGCGGTTGCGGGCGGTTTGCGGTTTGGATTTGAATTTTTTTCTTACAAATAAACAACGAAAAAATCAGTGATCAATAATATACATAACAAGTGCAATGTATCATAATTGAGTTCTAAACTAAAGAGGATTAACCAACAAGACTATATCAAATCTATAAGTATCTGTCTACTGAAAATCTGAAGTTCAAACATACCTTCCAGTTGGATCTATCCCATGTTCATCACAAACAACAATCCCAAAATTTTGATCCGATCTGGTTTCCATACTGTCCACCTTGAATGTGTAGGATTTCTCTATTTTTTCTGCAAATTAAAGTGAACTCAATGTCAATTTGAACAATCCTAAGGTAATTCAAATCAAAACATCATACCCAGTTTGAAATTGAATTACTAATCCATAAGAGACCTACCAAATTGAATTGATAATTCAATGAAAACAGATCTACCAAATCAACTCAAAATTATTCATTCCATAATATATAAATTAAAAGGAGAATATAATGCTCTTCAAGACACCAAGAGTGCACAGAACTCAGATCCACCAAAACCATAAAAATTTTCAAAAATTTAATATTCACAAAAATGAAAGGGTCAGGATTGTACATGGAATTATGATCCAATTTTTTTTGAAAATTTTCCAGTAAAATAGACAAAAATGACAAAATTATACGTCATATGATTCAAATTTCAAAGATCTTCAACGGATCTACAAAGTGAACTCAAAACAGATGTAGGAACAAAGTGAATTCAAAACAAATCTAGATCAATTTGTGCACAATGTAACAGATAATTTTCAAATCAGATAATCTTCACACACAAAAAAAAATCGTGGAATAATTCACAGAAAATGAACAAAAATCAAACAATTTGAGCAATCCAGACATCAAACCACAAATATCCACGAAATGCATTACTTTATTTAACATCTAAAACAGTTTAATCTAAGAAGATCAAAGGGTACGCGTACCGGTAAGGCTGCACGCGTATTGGGTACGCCAAAACAGGTACGTTTTATACAGTTAGTATACTGATGGGTACGCCATGGGCACACCACGGGTACGCCATTGGTACGTTTTGGGTACTCCGGGGTAAAAAATGAGATTTTTTTATAAATTAAAGGGTACCGGAGCAATTTTTTATGTCTATTTTAAAGAATTATAAAAATCTGGGGTTCTTTTGTAATAAATAAAACATAAATAAAACATGAAACCATATAAAATTAGGGTTCTTTATTCTCTCTATCATTCTATCATCTCAACTCCTTCCAGATCTCATTTCGAAATACTCCGAGGCTGAAGAACTTCGAAGGTGCTAGGGTTCCATGTCTATTCAATTATCTCCTTCCAGAAATACTCCCAAGAGAGTCTGAAGAACACTTCGGAGGTGCGATTGAAAGGTTTAATCGAAGGTGCTGCCGATTGATTCTCTCATTCGAAGGTGCGATTGAAGAGGTAAGTTCATCTTCGATTCTTTCCCCTTTTCTTCTTCGATTCTTTATCCTCTTTCTTTCATTTTTTTTTTCAGATTTTTGTGCTGTTTCTTCGCTGCAAACCATCGATTCTTCTTTTCTCTTTGGTTTTCTCTTTCTTTGATCCTTCATCTTCTTCTTCATTTTTCTTGAACCTTTTTTTTTTTTTTTTTTCTGATATATGTCCAGATTTTTGAACTAAAATCTGTCCAGATTTTTGAACTAAGATTTGTCCTTATTTTTTTTCTTCTTCTGATATATGTCCAGATTTTTGAACTTGAACTAAGATCTGTCCTTATATATATATATTTTTTTTTTCTGATATATGTCTAGATATTTGAACTAAAATCTGTCCAGATTTGTTGAACTAAGATCTGTCCTTATTTAATTTTTTTTTTTTCTGATATATGTCATATATATATGCAATATGATATTGGTTATAAAGCTTGACGACAAATTAAAATCCCTTGCCACCTTAAATTCTCTTTCGTAGCAGTTTATTTTGAGGGGGAGGGATGGGGGTTATGTAACTGAAAAACAGAGCATTAATTTGTGATGCATAACCATTGGTTTTGAGTTAAGTTAAGTTATCTGTTTGCAATGCTTGATGTTGTGGGTGGATATGATCGATTCTTCTTTTCTCTTTAGTTTCGATATTTAATTTTAATTTGTAGGTTGGATCCTTTAACCATAATTATAAAAAAAATAAAAAAAAATATCGGCGTACCACAGCCGTGCCTGTATCATATTTTTTGGGAGTTTTTCCGTATCGGCGTACCCGCAATCATACCCGTACCGTACTCGTACCCGCAACCGTGCTTCCTAGTACTAAACTCATGTAGGGAAGATTAGGAAACTTACAGAAATGCTCATCATAGCTGGGGTTTATGGCTGATTAAGTAATGAAAAGTTAGGTAGCTTACCGAGTTAAAATCAATGCTACAATTGGTTTGATTTCAAACTGTGAGCTTGTTGGATTTTGTACTATTTTACGTGTTTGGGGTTGCGTTCAAAATGTCAAAAGGTCGGGGAAAGAGATCTGTTGATTCTTCTTTTCTGCAGAGAATGAAGCTTTGCTTTATTGAAAGTGAAATTGGTATTCTTATTTTTGGTGATTGAGCTTCTCACTGAGCATTAACTTTGTGTTTTTTCTTGATTAGTCATTTACTTAATTTTTCCTATAGAATATAGTTGTAAAATGGGTTCTTTTTTATTTTTTATGTTTAAACCATCTACTAGAGTAAGTTTAATAAGACCCTAAGACAAACTCTTCATATGTGTACTCCTCACATTCTTATGCGTAAAAGACGTACAAGGCGCACCTAAAACGCATGTCTCAGACTATGTGCACAAGCCTTTGGGGTGTAAAGCCTAAGAATCGAAGCCTTGAGGCGTTTTTCCTTAGCCTCGCCTCGAGGCGAGCATTGAGGCAGGCCTCAGTAAAGCCTTTTAAAGGTAATAAAAGATAAATAAAATTGCACAATAGGCTATTGAGCTACTACAAAAAGTAGAGGTGCGCAAATGAATAGATGAACTTGCAAACTGAACCAATCAGGTCTTCATAGTTGGGCTTGTTCGTTATGGGAAAGCTTGCCTTCAATGTAGTATTCTAGGAATAAAGAAAATAAATAAAAAGGAATCATGGCTTGTATTCTTGGAAGATTGAAATTCCTTTTTTGTTTTTTTTTTGGGACATGAAACTTCTGCTAGGAAGCAATAAGGACAATAGGAAAGAGTTTTGTTTTATTGGTGTTTTAAGCATTTAATAGGGGCTCTTTTTGAAAGCTTTGATGATTTAACTCCTAAAAAATAGCCTGGCTTTATGAGTAAGGAGAAGGATTCAGAGGAACAAGATGGAGAATATTTTAGGTTTCTATCTGAGTTTATTCCTTCAGAGCTGCACCTTAAGCAAGGTTGCCATACATTATACAGAGTTCCAAATTTTCTCAAAAAAATTTGGAAATCAATTCTATTGATTAGACTTATTGACATGCATGTACCATATGTAGGTTGTTGGGTTCTAATTCAACTTGGTCTGAAACTTCAGAAATAGAAACTGAGGCCCTTTGACTTGTTGAAAAAATCTAGATCATATAAATTCTCCATAAAACCATAACTTAGCATACAATACAACCCATGGACCAAAACCATAGCCCCTGTCAAGTGAATTTTGAAAATTAGCAAATGATCCCTAGCATTTAATCTAAGAAAGGCAATGTTTTTAATGGTGAATGCGTAATGTGAGGCGTTTTATCTCTCATGAGGTGAGGCGTAAGCCTTAAGGTATTGAGGCGTAAGCATTTCAAATTTTGAATTTTTATATTTAGTAAATATTTTAAAACAATAAATAAATACATCAAAATTAAATATAAAGGTGTAAATACTTTTATGCTCAAGGCTCATTGCAGAGAATGAAGCTTTGCTTTATTAAAAGTGAAATTGGTATTCTTAGTTTTGGTGATTGAGCTTCTCACTGAGCATTAACTTTGTGTTTTTTCTTATTAGTCATACTTAATTTTTCCTATTAAATATAGTTCTAAAATGGTTCTTTTTTATTTTTTATATTTAAACGATCTACTAGAGTAAGTTTAACAAGACCCTAAGACAAACTCTTCATATGCATAGGCGCACCTAAAACGCATGTCTCAGACTATGTGCACAAGCCTTTGGGGTGTAAAGCCTAAGAATCAAAGCCTTGAGGCGTTTTTCCTTAGCCTCGCCTCGAGGCGAGCATTGAGGCAGGCCTCAGTAAAGCCTTTTAAAGGTAATAAAAGATAAATAAAATTGCACAATAGACTATTGAGCTACTACAAAAAGTAGAGGTGCGCAAATGAATAGATGAACTTGCAAACTGAACCAATCAGGTCTTCATAGTTGGGCTTGTTTGTTATGGGACAATTCTCCATTTGGTTTTGGATCCAAAAATTCCCATGATTGACGCTGTCGTTTTAGTTCTTGGTTTAGGGCTCAAGTAATGTGGAACAACTTGAGAACTAACCCCATGTATATATTATATAATATTTATTATAGATATAAATATTCTTGATTTGTCTTGATTACCTTGGCTTTAACATGTGCAAAAATCATTTGCATAGCATGTGTTGTTGACTTTATGTTTGAGTATTTACAAAAAATTTAGTGGACAATTGAAGTGTTATAAAATGCGAGTAGAACTATGGGAGCCTGAAGATTTTCAGTTTTGGTTAGTTGTATTCCGTTCATTCATTGGTTTGGTTCTAGGTTTGGAATTTCCATAACTCACTAGGTTCATTTGGTTTTGGGTCTAGCACTAACCCAACTGAACCCAACCCAACCAACCCATGCTCACCCCTACTAAAATTTTAAGTGGAGACTTAAAATTCAAATTAGAAATTATTAGATGAAGTCTCAAGTATATTGTTTCTATAAATTTATTGGATGTCTCTTAAACTTAATTTCAAAGAGTTTGACCATTTATTTTGCGGACTTTATGGTTAGGGATTTCTAAACTTTTTAGTGGGCAACTAAATATTTAATTAAAGTAGAACTGTTGGTCAACATGAAGCAACCTGAGTTTTTCATTTTTGGGTGGAATGAGTTCCATTCATTGTTCCGTTTGGTGGTGTGTCCAAAATTCCCATAACCAACAAGGCCTATTTGAATCTCGGTCTGGCACTAACCCAACTGAATCGAAATTATTAAATGAAGTTTCGAGTACTAGCATACAAAATTTTAGGTTTGCCATTTTTTTGTTAACTTGCCCGACTTCATTCTCCGCCAAATTATGAGAAAGCTTGCCTTCAATGTAGTGTTCTAGGAGTAAAGAAAATAAATAAAAATGAACCATGGCTTGTATTCTTGGAAGATTGAAATTCCTTTTTTGTTTTTTTTTTTTGGGACATGAAACTTCTGCTAGGAAGCAATAAGAGCGGTATTAAGGGCCTGAGTGTTTGGAAATAAAATCAGTGGCTTGAGTGATTTGTAGATCAGACTTGTACATATAAGTAGACTTGTAGATATTTGTATAGATATTTCTAGAAGACATTGTAGAATGTTCTTGCAGCTTGTAAGAAGGCTTCCATGGGAAGCTTCTACATGACACTTTCTTGTGTGTTCTAGAATGCTCCTAAAGAGCCTATAAAAAGGAAAGGCGCTCATTTGCTCCAATCAATCCAAGAGTTGTATAAGTCCCTTTAAAGTGAATACAGAAACATTATCCCAAACACGCTGGGCTTGTTTGGTTTGTTTTTGGGAGAGTTGTTTTTGAAATTTTTTTTCAAAATTTTGTTTGGTTTATTGTTTTTCTCAAAAAATTTCCAAAATTACTTCCTCTCCCTTACACATCAAGCAATCACTTTTTCTCTCTCCTCTCTCTTTCTTAATCACTTTTTTTCTCACACACATCTACCCAATTACAACAAAAATATCAAATCATCACAAACTCCCAAACTCCAAAATTACTTTCAAAAAATACAATCAAGCAAACCAAAAAAATTTCTAAACTCTCTCCCCAAATTTTTTTTTTGAAAATCACTCTCTCAAAAAGAAACCAAACACACCCTTTGTCTTCTTACTTGTCTTTCTTGTAAATTTTTGAGTTAGGCTGACTTAGCATCACCAAGCAAGACTTGTGATTGTCTAAGTGCCACACGGATAACTTGAAAATAACCAAGGCCGTGACATGTAGCTGGCAAAAAGAGAATGTCCAAGCTCCTACGGTTCCCTGTAGCTATAACATATTTCATACAAAGAATAACTTATTAGTTTAAAATTTTTTATTTTTTATTTTTTTGTTAGCTCATTATTTCTTTTGTTTTGTTTTTTATTTTCTTTAATAGTCCACTTCATTTTTAATATAGGCACAATATAGTCTTGACGATGGTGCTTTAACTATATTTGAGATCGATGGTGTTAGGAAGAGATATTGGCTCAATCGTTTTCATATAGTGGTTGAAGTAGAAATACTATACAATAAAATCATGGAGCATCTGAACAGTCATATATACACCCCTCTTCCAATTTTCCAAGTTAAGGAGGACAGCGGCAACTAGTGTACGGAAGAATTGCATTTTGTTGCCATACCTCAAAGGGGAGTTACAATTGAAGATTTTTTGAAAACATCGTCAAATAGAGATTCACTCTTTGATTCTCTCTATTCGGATCAATATAAGAAACTAATGAAAGAGATTATCAAAGTTGTTATTCATCTAATGGACATATTTGATTTAACAATCAAATTAGGTCTTCAAACTGTCACATTATTACATGATAGACAATTTTCTCAACATTGTATTACCAAATTTTTTGGTGTCAAAATTTTCAGTAAGTTGAAATTCTGCTAGTAAAAATGATTTATTTATTTACTTATTTATTTATTCTTATGAAATTTTTATCTTTATGTATTGTTATATAGGAAAGCAAAATAAGGTGTAAGGTTTTTGTAATTGGCAATCCCGTTTGATAAAATTCTTTTCAGTTGTAATTTTATTTGATCTTTTATTTGAGTGAGGCTGTGAGTATTTAGATGCGATTCCAACCTGAATTGTGCTTATGCAGAGGAGTTTGTGATCTTAATCTTATCATGTTTGCCACTTCGCTGACTATGTCACGACCTTTCAGAAGTTTCACTCGCCTGCAAAAGTACTGGGAGTTGTTTTTTTCTGCTTGAGCAGCCATTCCTGTGTTCGAGCGTAGACCCTGTTTAGTCTCATGCGTTTTAGTCACTTTGCTCGAGCGGAGATCGCGGATCTGTTTGCTATAAAAGCTGTGGTTTAGTCAGGTGTTAGGGTATGGCTTCCAGATCTTCTTCTTAGGTATTACGGTTTTCTTCTAGAGCTTCTTTGCTTGTTTCCTTTGATATCTGTGAGAGTTTAATCATGAATTGAGTGGATTATATCGAAGGGTTTGTTTAGTTTGTTTTATTCACTCAGCAGCATCGATATCAGTCTTCGTCCTTGTATAGATCAATTTGATAAATGCTAACAACTTTGATGAGGGAGTTATTACCTTACGAAAAATCTAAAATCCCGGATATATTGATTTGTGATTATGTACCAATTTTAAACAGTAAATAACAATCTCAATCAAACAATCAAAGACAAATTGACACAACAATTTTACATGAAAAAATCACAATTGGAGCGCCTCCAATTGTGATAAAAAATCATGGGCCAAGGCCACAAAACAATTCATTAAGAAGGCACAACTAAATTACACAAGTGTACTCTCAATTTTCTAATGAATTCACGCCCGAATTGAACCGACCCCTATGTGCCTTTTCCAGCCCCGTCTTCACCTTGGAATTGTCTTGCCCAACGTTGAATCCACAACGCCGATGTCGAATCCACGACGATGAGCCACTCCGGAATCCACTAAAGCTTCAGGCTTATGTTCCATGGAATCCACCAATGCCGATATTAAAGTTGTTGGCATTTATCAAATTAATCTATACAAGGACAAAGATTGATATCGATGCTGCTGAGTGAATAAAACAAACTAAACAAACCGTTTGATATAATCCACTCAATACATGATTAAACTCTTACAAATATCAAAGGAAACAAGCAAAAAAGCTCGAGAAGGAAACCCTAATACCTAAGAAGAAGATCTGGAAGCCGTACCCTAAAACCTGACCAAACCGCAGCTTTTATAGCAAACAGATCCGCGATCTCTGTTCGAGCGCAAGAATAGCCGCTCGAGCAGAGTGACTAAAACGCGTGAGACTAAACAGGGTCTACGCTCGAGCACAAGAATGGCTGCTCGAGCGGAAAAGAACAATTCCTAGTAATTTTGCAAGCAAGTGAAACTTCTGAAAGGTCGTGATATAGTCAGCGAAGTGACAAACATGATAGGATTAAGATCATAAACTCCGCCACATAGGCACAATTCAGGTTAGATTCGCATCTAAATACTCATAGCCTCATTGAAATAAAAGATCGAATAAAATTACAACTCAAAAGAATTTTATCAAACATGATTGTCAATTACAAAAACCTAATACCTTATTTTGCTTTCCTATATAACCGTACATAAAGATAAAAATTAAATCCATAAGAATAAATAAATAAGTAAATAAATAAATCATTTTTACTAGCAGAATTTCAACTTACTGAAAACTTTGCCACAAAAAAATTTGGCAATACAATGTTGAGGAAATTGTCTTTCATGTAATAATGAGACAGTTTGAAGATCTAATTTGATTGTTAAATCACTTATGCCCTTTAGATGAATAACAATTTTGATAATCTCCTTCATTAGTTTCTTATATTGATTCGAATGGAGGGAATCAAAGAGTGAATCTCTATTTGACGATGTTTTCAAAAAATCTTGAATTGTAACTCCCCTTTAAGGTATGGCAACAAAATGCAATTCTTCCGTACACACGTTGCCCCTGTCCTCCTTGACTTGGGAAATTGGAAGAGGGGAGTATATATGACTGTTCGAATGCTCCATGATTTTATTGTACAGTATTTCTACTTCAACCACTATATGAAAATGATTGAGCCGATATCTCTTCCTAACACCATCGATCTCAAATACAGTTAAAGCACCATCGTCAAGGCTATCTTGTGCCTCTATTAAAAATGAAGTGGAGTATTAAAAAAACAAAAAACAAAACAAAAGAATTAATGAGTTAACAAAAAAAATAAAAAATAAAAAATTTTAAACTAACTTATAAGTTATTCTTTGTATGAAATATGTTATAGCTATAGGGAACCGTAGGAGCTTGGACATTCTCTTTTTGCCAGCGACATGTCACGGCCTTGGTTATTTCCAAGTTATCCGCGTGGCTATGAGACAATCACTAGTCTTACTTGGTGATGCTAAGTCAGCCTAACTCACAAATTTGCAAGAAAGGCAAGTAAGAAGACAAAAAGAGTTTGAGAGAATGTTTTTGTATTCATTTTAAAGGGACGCGGTACAATTCTTGGATTGATTGGAACAAATGGGAGCGTCTCCTATTTATAGGCTTCTTAAGAGCATTCTAGAACACACAAGAAAGTGTCATGTAGAAGCTTCCCATGGAAGCCTTCTTAGAAACTGCAAGAACATTCTAGAATGTCTTTTAGAAATATCTATACAAATATCTACAAGTCTAGTTATATGTACAAGTATGATCTACTTCCAAAATCAATTTAAGACCAAATAAGAATCATAAATAATACCCACTCATGGGCAACACCTATTAACTCATATCAACAAATATGAAAATTGTCAAAATACCCCTAACCTAAAAATCCTAGAAAATATAAACTAATAATAAAATAGGACTATAATAATACTAAAAACATGATTATGAATGGTTCCTATCGGTTTTTCATTTTTCTTTGAAATCATGCCAATTTTCAAATATCGCCACTCTTTTGAATTTACTCTTCATTGAGTTTCTTATATTCTGCATCACATCTATTTATATATTTTTTAAAAAGAATCATACATTACATTGTTCTTAAGAATTATACGTTGTTTTTAAGAATATAAGATATTTATGTCAAATTCTCAAACTTTGAAAATCAAACATTAGCAAATGTCAAAGTTTTGGTCTCATGTTTATATTTTTAGTGATAGACATGACCGATAAGTGACGACACGTCATGAAATGAGTGTCAAACATGTGTCCAAAATTAATATTTTTAATTTTAATCAAGGACATGTAAAAAATAATATTGAACACGTGTCTAAGAGTGTCGGTGTCCGAAAATGGACACATCTGCTTCTTAAAAGTGTTCGTTCGTGCTTCTTAGTACTATCTGCTTCTTAGAAGTGTGTGTTTGTGCTTCTTAGCTTATCCCACAAGCATTTTTACAGCCCTAACAAGAGAACGGAGAGGATACTAAATTTGCTTCGCTCGCCCCATCTCAACCCACCCTGTGCCAATTATATTTAATTAAATGACCTTTGTATGTATATCCATCCACATATGAATTTGATTTGTTAAATTTAGTTAGAGTAAAATAGTAAAACACTCATGTGTTTCTCAGTTTTTCTTTTCTTACCTTTTTAACACTTGTCTTTAATCTTTTTAACTCTTATTACTCATCAATCTTTGTCCCTCTTATACTACATCATCTCCCTCATTAGTATAATTCCTCTGAAGGGTGACAAATTACTTGCCAACCCCTTGCTCCTGACCCATCCTCGCCACCGCTTCGATGTTTCCCACCCCAACAAGGAAACGGGGTGGGGATGGGGCGCTTCAAACCTTGCTTGTCTTGTTGTCATTCCTAATTGGAAACCTTGCCTTTGTGGACAAAAAACTTTCTTCTTGTTATTAAAATGCTTTTATTTCTTGGATGTTTTATGTTGGTTGGGGTTGAGGGTTGCACTGCTACATTTCTTTTGTTTCTCTATGTTGCATGATGGGTTTGAATTTTGTTATTTTTATTTTTCATAGTAATGTTTGATATGTTGGAACAAAGTGTGTCACTAGCTTTTGTTTTCAATGATTAGCGTTGCAAGAAGAGCAATTACATGGAGGATCAGCTAAGTGCATTGCCAGATGAAATTATCATTGCCATCTTGTCCCTCTTGACAATGAAAGAAGCGGCAAGAACTGGTGTGCTTTCCCTTGAATGGAAAAATTTGTGGAAGTTTTCCATGGGTAGTTTGAATTTTGATGCTTCCAATACAAACGCGCGCATGCAACAAGAAATAGAAACAATGTCAATTGAAACTGAAAGGACTAAGTATATAAGTAGGGTAAACAAAGTCTCCAATTTGCATCAGGGCCAAAATATAGAAGAATTTAGAGTGTGCTTTGATTTGGATTAGAATTTTGCATGTGTCGTTGATAGATGAATTAACTTTGCAAAAGAAAAGAGTTTGAAAGCTTGAGTTGGACTTGAGGATAATTTGACGATTCTCAGTTTGAGGATTCTTGCCCTTTTCCGTTAAGCCAATTTGGTGTTCTAAGCTTTAACACCTTGACTTCCCTCTGCTTGAAATCGGTAGATTTGACAGAAGACGTTCTTGCACAATTCTTATCTAATTGTCCGTTGATTGAAGAGTTATCTTTGATGCATTCATGATCTTTGGTTAATCTAAAAATAGGTGGTCCTCTGAAGTTGAAGTAATTGGTGCTTAGCTACTGTTTCAGTTTACGAAATCTTGAGATTTTGGCTACAAATCTCATATCATTTAAATACCGTGGGCCATACATAATCAACAATCCTCTTAAGAATGTTGCCCTGTTCTCTGAAGTATCCATTGGGGGTTGTTACTGCATGGATATAGTTTGTTCAGCATTTTACCGTTTCTCTGGTGTACTCTGTTAGCTAGAGACACTTGTACTGGACCTGGATTCTCTGGTTAGTTGGCATAACCATTGCGTGGTAGTTTTGTTTTTTAACTCCAGAATTTTGTAATCTTAAGCGGTTGGAATTGTAAGCTGTTGCATATGAAGACCAAAGTATCCCATTCCTCACTTCCTTGATAGATGCATTGCATAAGTTTGTGGTGAAGGTGAATCTTCTTAATCTAAATGGCTTTTCATTTAAGAACACTTGGATTATTGTTTATTTGGTCAAATGATGCAAATTACAATGTTTGTTGTGTTCATATGAGTACTTGTACATGTTTTAGCTCCCATTCATTTGTATGAGATCAGTCTTGTAATTTGACTATGTAATCACGCAGTTATTATATTATAACTAGTGGTTGATCTATGCGATGCACGTAATAAAATTAATATTTTTAACAAATTTATGATAATATTATTATGAATCATGACATAAATATATGTTTATATGTATAAATTATTTTGATGGTTTATTAGCTTTGATGTTCAACCTTTCATTTTTTTGTTATGTAGGCTTATTATTACTATATACTCATGATTGTTATGTTTATTTATTCCTTTGTTATTTAAAAATTAACAATATTAAACCTCATTAGGTCAAGTCGTGGTAAGCTAACATAATTTCTTAAAATTCTTGTCTATCCTAATTTGTTTCACCTGTAAGAGTTATTTTCTTATTTTACAATGTTTAAATCAAATATCGTTAGGTTAAGTGCTGTTATGTTAATTTAAAATTTTAAAATACATGCCAATCCTTATTATTTTACCAATTTAAAAAACTGACAATAATATTTATGGTCATTGTACATGCAGGAGACAAACAATTCAATGATTGTAAATTTTATTTTACGCAATTAGAGTCCACTTTTTATTGATATCTTATATTTGTTATAAAAATGTTACAAAAGTACATAGTAATTTAACACAAACATGGTTCTTTCTAGATAAAAATTCTTAAGATATAAAAAGAGTTGATTTACTCATAAAACTGTGAAAAGAGGGGGCCGATCTTTGTATACTCTCATGATGTGGCATTTTGAAAATGTAAGTATTTAGAGTGGCACGTAAGCACCGATTAGTTGAGAGTAAAAGATTTGGGTTAAACTTTACTTTTATTACTGTACATTAGACGAGGTTAAGAAAGAAAGACAAAGTAATTTTGTATTATTACGTATATGTCTGCTCAAAGCCTTTTAGGTAAAGGGTGACATATGGATGGGTTGGGTTGGGTCAGGTGAAGATGGGTCTTGTGGTTAAATGGATTAACCCTGAACCTGCCCAATTAGCAAACAAGTTATACTTGGACAGATTTAGCTGTACACAGGTCGGGCACATGGACCCATTTTGATCAGTTTAATTACTTATCTCTGCCAAGAACCATTTTTAGCTGATCATTTTATGAGTATCTTTTTTTGGATCCAATCCATTTTCGTGGCCCGACCCATTGGCCAAGATTTGTTTTCCCATTCCTTGGTACAATTGTTCTTGTGGCTAGCCTGTTGAACACTATAATTACAAGTGGGTGGTTTAATTAAAAATTTCTAGTGAACAGAATAGCAGAAACTTTTTCTCTTGTTCTTGGTCTTAAACGTTTAAGTAAATAAAAAGTATTACTGCTGTGAGGTCAACCTTGTTTTTGTTTTAAGCAATATGCGGCCCAAAGGTTCAATTGTTACACTCATGTGATGAACCAAATAGACACTGTTTCACACATGTGGTGTTCTCACTGGCTAAGTCTTATGGAGGGTTCCTGAATGTCCATCATAAAGATGCTGAATAAACAAATAGAATCCAATTATTTATTTATTATTTTTATTTTTTTATACATCAATTGGGGTTGGATGTTAGTTGTTAAGGGAAGGGGGAACCACGAAGAGTGTCAAACTCTTCCCCATAAGATTTTGAATTCAAAACCTCACACTACAAAGTGGTGCAGCACAATCACAAGGCCAAGGCCGTTGTTAACTAGAAACTAATTTAGTGCATTGATTTCTTCTTTTTGGTAATTTCAAGTTAAACAATTTGGTTTTGATGTAGGAGCAAGTGCTTTGGAATCACTATAATACTAGATCTAATATAAAACCTATGAAGCACGGGTACTCCAAAAATGTTGCCGTACAAGTACCGGATACTTCTCTGGTGCGGGTACGCGTACCGGTAAGGCTGCACGCGTATTGGGTACGCCAAAACAGGTACGTTTTATACAGTTAGTATACTGATGGGTACGCCATGGGCACCCCACGGGTACGCCATTGGTACGTTTTGGGTACTCCGGGGTAAAAAATGAGATTTTTTTATAAATTAAAGGGTACCGGAGCAATTTTTTATGTCTATTTTAAAGAATTATAAAAATCTGGGGTTCTTTTGTAATAAATAAAACATAAATAAAACATGAAACCATATAAAATTAGGGTTCTTTATTCTCTCTATCATTCTATCATCTCAGCTCCTTCCAGATCTCATTTCGAAATACTCCAAGGCTGAAGAACTTCGAAGGTGCTAGGGTTCCATGTCTATTCAATCATCTCCTTCCAGAAATACTCCCAAGAGAGTCTGAAGAACACTTCGAAGGTGCGATTGAAAGGTTTAATCGAAGATGTTGCTGATTGATTCTCTCCTTCGAAGGTGTGATTGAAGAGGTAAGTTCATCTTCGATTCTTTCCCCTTTTCTTCTTCGATTCTTTATCCTCTTTCTTTCATTTCAACATTACAACCCAAACCCTCCATGCAAAGTGATAGTGCAACAGCACATGGAAGATAGATTCACTCACAGCTTTACAGAAAACACAAAGGGCTGGTGAATTAGCTTTAAGCATTCTAATTTTTTGAAGAAAGTCTACTGTCTTTACTTTGTTTCTATGCTAACCAGCAGAAAAATTAAACCTTTGGAGATGCAAATTTGTTCCAAACTAACTTGCTAGTAATAAGAGAGGGACCAAGGGAGACAACTTCACTTTTATAGATAGAAGAGACAAAAAACAGTCAAGAAAAAGTACGTATTGCTGATGGTACTGTTTCATCTGTGTTAGGGAAATGTTTAATTCATGCCACCTCTTCCCTTCCTTTGTCCTCTGTACTTCATGTTCCTAATTTTAGTATTAATCTTTTATCTTTGAGTCGGATTACTCATGATTTAAATTGTAGCGTAATGGTTTTTCCTGATCATTGTTTTTCCCAAGACCTTATCATGAGGAATAGGATTGGTAGTGGTAGAGAGAACATGGTCTCTACATTGTGGATCAGACAAACAAGCTGGCTCATTCATCTATCCAATCACCATCCACCAAGGACGACATTTGGCTGTGGCATTATTGCTTAGGCCATCCCACCTTTTTATTACTTAAGCATTTATTTCTTTCTGTTTTTGAGAAAAATAATGTCTCATTTTCATTTTCGATGTGAGTCATGTGGAAATCAACATCGAGCCTCTTTTGCTCCGTCTATTAATAAAAGTTCAGTCCTATTTTCTTTGATTCATTTTGATGTATGGGTTCATTCCGTTTTGTGTCTATAAAAGGTAAGAAATGATTTGTTACTTTCATTGATGATTACTCCAGGGCCACTTGGGTATATCTGATGAGAGATATGAGTGCGGTGCTTTCTGTGTTTCAAAATTTCTATAAAATGGTTTGTACTCAGTTTGGGGCAGTTGTCCAAATTCTACGTTTTGATAATGGGGGGGAATATATTGACTCTGGTCTTGCTAGTTATTTCGCCACTCATGGCATTATCCACCAAATTTCTTGCAATAATACTCCTCAACAAAATCTTGTTGCCGAATGCAAAAATCGCCATCTCCTTGCTGTGGCCGTTGTCTATCATTTGAGATGCGGGTTCTATGCTTCTATTGGGGGGAAGCGGTTCTCATTGCCGCGTATTTAATTAATCGGCTTCCTACCCAAGTCCTTTAAAAACACACACCTCTTCAAGTCCTCTTCCGGGTTCTCCATTCCTTCTAAGACCTTTGGCTGTGTTTGCTTTGTCCATAATCATTCCCTTGTGGTAAATTGGATCCTAAGTCTCTTAAGTGTGTTTTTCTGGGTTATTTTGCCACCCAAAAAGGTTACAAGTGTTATCATCCTTTTACTTGCAAATGGTTTGTCTTTATGGATGTCACTTTCTTTGAGTCTCAGCCTTACTTTCCAGCCTCCCCGGTATTATTGTCATCCCTTTAGGAGGAGCCTTGGTGTGAAGAGATTCCTATTCCACTTTCACCAGTGGTTGCAACGATAGAGAATGATGAGCCAACAGTTGTTGCGGAAAAGGAAGCAAGCAAAGTTTATATCTGGGACAAGGACAGACATTAAGTCCCTTCAATGCAAGAGACTACTACTTTTCCTTCTCTACTGCCAACTTCTTCTCTGGATGAGTGTCCAGAGTCACCCCCCTCTCTTGAGAGTCCAGGTAATTCTGATTCTAGTGCTCCTATTCCTGAGTTTTCAAATCTTGATGTTTCCATTGCTAATAGGAAGGGGGTTAGGCCATGTACTCAGTATCCTATTACTAATCACATCTCTTATTCTAATCTTTCTTCCTCATATAAAGCCTTTCTGTCTAAAGTGTCTTTTGTGAGTTTACCTACCAATTTTCAGGATGCTCTCTCTATTCCTGAATGGAAACATGCCATGATGGAAGAGATGAGAGCTCTCAGCAAGAGTGGCACTTGGGAGTTCGTGGAGTTACCTAGAGGCAAAAATCCAGTTGGATATTAGTGGGTGTATACGGTAAAACACAAAACAGATGGTTCCATAGAGCGGTACAAAGCAAGACTGGTTGCTAAGGGCTTTAATCAGACTTATGGGGTAAATTACCAGGAGACATTTGCATCGGTTGCTAAGTTGAATTCCGTGAGAATCTTACTCTCTCTTGCTGCAAATTTGGATTGGCCACTTCAAACTCCGAAAGTCACTTTATGGGCTAAAGCAGTCTCCTAGGGCTTGGTTCGAAAGGTTTGCTCAAATTATGTTGAAATATGGGTTCGAGCAAAGTCATGTTGATCACACCTTGTTTGTGAAATACTCCTCACATGGTAAGAGCACAGCTCTTATTGT